CAAGTTAATATGACACAAGAGAAGAATGTATGTAAAGTGTAGAGAAATTTGTAGTGATAAACAAGTTTAGATAGAGACATGTATAGTGAATGTGGGAAGGGAAGAATGGGATCTCTATCTTGGAAGGTTTGAGGATCGTAGAGTAAGAAGCCCTTTGGTGAGAAGTCCTAGAGTGTTCTTGGGTCCTAGCTGACATGCTTCGCAATGGTTGGGCGTCTAGGCCTTTGTGAGAGCATCTACAACGACTTTCATGCACCATTTTATTTGGTGAGGTGGCATTGTTTCATCCTATTTCATGGATGTGAGAATACATTTCAACAATGAAATATTTCATTTAATGAAATAGCTAAGAGCATCTGTATCGCCTGTCTTCTCCCTATTTTATAGTGACATGGCATCTTTCATTGGCTATTTCATGGTTGGAGGAACCCATGTCAGACATGGGATATTTCATCTACGGGTCGTTTGTTTTATGGATTGGTAAAATGAAGGTTTTGGTAAAACTTGGGTTTTGTAACACCATGGATGTTTGAGGGTTTTGGGTTCATTATGGACTTCAAAAATACCATTGTTTGTTTCATAGATTTTATGATGAAATTGGTTAATTAGATTTGTATATATAAAGTGAAATTTACCTTTATTGCCCTCATTGGTATGAGAAGAGAAATAAATTATGAGGGGTAGTTTGGTTTTAAATGATGGACTTCAAAGTCCATGATCAATTCACACCTAAAGAAGTGGAACTTTCAAATTCGCGAGGTCCACGAATTTGGACCCTTAAAGTTCGTGGGACCCATGGATTTGTTGCCCCGAAATACATGAAGCAAACAATGAATTTTGGACAAAGTCTATTATGGATCCAAATCCATCACCAAATCTATTACCAAATCTTGTTGAAATGCTAAATGAAATAGCTAGTGGGGTGGAAGATGAACCACGTTTGTCCTTTTATTTTTTACTTTCATTTTTCATTTTCTTTTAATAATTGGGACAATCATTTTAGTTTCTTTATTAACTTGTTTTTATACTTTTATAGTTTATTTACTTGGGATAATCAACATTAATAAATTCATAACTCTTACATTAAAGATTAAATTACATAGCCTAAAGGTATGATTTTTGTAGCTGATGACGGAAATGAAATAAACTTCAAATTTTGAAAGCGCAATATGAAAATCAAGTACACATACGTACGTACGTATATATATATATGGTACGCCCGGCGTACGCTAGCCTTTGCCATATATATATATATGGTGCCTTCTACGGTACCCCGGGTGAAATCCAGGGTACCGCATACCTTAAGTATGAAAACATTATCTAGGCCTCGAATTAGCAGGATTTTTGGGCATGATACTATACCCTAACCCTTAATGAGTGAACCATAGGTCCTAATTATCTGAATCATAAACTATAAACCCTAAGATGGAGCATTACTTTTTTCGCCTATATTTGGACGAATCATAACCGTCGATTATTGTTTCTAATTAAATTGATCTTGGGGTATAAGATTTAGTGAATTAAGACCTAGATTTTGATCTTTATGGGTTAGAGTATAGTATAATGTCCGAAAGATTAGCCAATTCAAGTTCTAGATAGGGTTTTCTTACTTAAGGTATGCGGTACCCCGGATTTCACCCGGGGTACCGTAGAACTCCTCATATATATATATATATATATATATATATATAAAACGATGTCGCAACTATATCCAAATACAAATTACATAGCAAATATATAATACTTAAAAAGAAATCATAAACACGCATAAACTGGTACATAAATAGAAGTCTTACACTGTAAGTCTGTAACACATAACAAATACGCATACGACAACACACACCTACATAAATTATTCAAAGCAAATAAAGTATGGTGAGTACCTTCGGAACCACACAAGGATTCATAATAGGTCAACAAATAATCAACTTCAGTCCAATTTGATAGAAGAGATATGGAATCGATTCAGAGACGAGGAGTACGATGATTAATCTAGTATCGTTTTTATGTATTTTTATTATGTGTGTTTATTTGAAATAGTAATTGTGTTATGTACGCGTGTTTATTTGAAATTGTGATTGTGGTATGTTCATTTGTAATTTGCAATTGTGATTGTGTTATGTAATTCGTTATTTGAATATTGTACTCGTGACTTAATAATAAATTTCATGTATTTTTAATAAAGTCTACCCATTTTAAATTATCTAATTTATTTAATTAATGATCAAAGCTATAATGTATTTTCAATGACTTATTAATTTTATTTATTATTGATAATTAAAAAATTAAAGTATATTATTTTAGTTAATTGATGCATCTTAAAATTGGTAAAATAATATAGATTAGATAAAATGTATAGTTGTATTAAAATTAAGTTGGACCCACCATATAAAATAGATTGGAGATTTCATGGATGTAGAGGAAATGGAAGTGGTATACAGACAGTGGAATGAAAAAAACTGCTGATGTAGCAGTAGGGGTCACATATAAAATAAATTGGGGATTTCATGGATGTGGATTGTCTAATTGAAAAGGTGGTGGTGAGTGAGTGGGTCTGCCTCCCACTTTTGCTTTTTTTATGCACATTTTGTTACTTTTTTTATTTTCTTATGTCTATAGGTTAAATAAAATGGTTATTTGTATTAAAAAATTAGTTGGACCCACTTTATGAAATTAAATGTGTATTTCATAGATGTAGAGGAAATGAAAGTGGTATATAGTTGAATAGGAAAAGTTGCTGATGTGGGAGTAGGGGCCACATATGAAATAAAAATGTTATTTCATGGATGTGGATGGTCTGAGAACTTTGGTGACAAAACTAATTTGTCGTTTGCTTGTGGGATTTGGGTGTTGTATTTGGCACCCAAATACCAAGCATTATGTATTTGATAAAAAAATATTGTTTGTTGAGGTATACAAATATGTGGGGCCCATGGATTTGGACATTTTTTTAGCTCCAAATCCATGAACACCACGTATTTGCAAATACCACATTATGGAAGACAAATTTTTGGGACCCAAATACCAAATGAACTAAATCCATGATAAAAATTCAATTAAACAATCAATGTTATCTTTCAAATACAAGATACAATAAATTCATCATAAATCCAAAGGTTTTCCAAACTCAAAACCTTTATTTTCTAATCCAACAAGCAAACGAGCCATAAGACGTACATGTTAACTAATAATTACTCATGTTCCAACAACACCATTATGTAAGATGTTACCCCACTTGCATAGAATACTTAGTTTGTGATAAGAAATGAATATTATAAATTTGTGATAATGGTGAAATGCAATACATGGCAAGATTAATCATTTAGTCTTGTCAAGTCTTGTCTCTTGCTGACTTAGTTTTCATGCGTTATCTTCGGCCTATCTCTCTTTTATTTCCATTCTCATGTAGGGGTGAACATAAAAAATATGAAAACTGGTCATGTGGTCAAACTCGTCAATCCAAACCGATCTAATCTAATCGTGAGACAATTAGGTTTATATATTGTCACGAGTAAATAGTTATAAGTATATACACAATATGTGCACTGGTTGTTAAAATTGAGTGGTGTCTCTCTTACCGCGAGAAAATTTCTTCATATGTAAAAAGTACGAGTTCCAATATTACCTTGAATATAAGTTGTAGCAACTGCTGGAAAGGATATCATGAAATTGTAGAAAGTATGAGTTCATATGTAGAAAGTACGAGTTCCAATATTACCTTCAATGTAAGCTGTAGCAACTGCTGGAAAGGATATCATGAAATTGTGCATATCTAGAATAATACAATGTTGCTGACCAATGCAAGATTTTTTTTTTGTGTGTGAGTATTTTTTAATTGTTGCTTTCCTACCATGGTTATTTCTTCTCCATATTGGCTGTATGTGCAAAAGCGGTATACAAATGAATCAAAATAACACTCCTGAAATTGGTAGACTATAAAGAACTAAAACCGACTCGTCCAACCCACCTACAACCCTATTCTCATGTGAAATTTTCCACTGTAATGTTATTTGTAGCTCATTTAGTCCATTTTCATGGTTGCTTCCTTTCAAGTTTCCAAGAATAGGGCTAGACTTTGTCAAGAACTGGTAGGAAAGAATTGGATTGAAGGCGTGATTAATCACTCTCCTTAGAGTGTTATTTGCCCCCACTACAAATTGTTGGTAGGCTCTAGCAAACCACCCCAGGAGTCCCTTCAATTTTAAGTCTGGAAGGAGCAATCTTGCAAACTTCTGTGTTTATGAAATAGAGAAGGAAAACGGGAAGAATAAGTAATCTCTCGTATTAAAAGAGTAATGATACTCATCTATTTATAGTTGTGAAAACTGGAAGTTAACTTCCAAAGAGTCACATCCTTTCACAGAAAAAGGTAGTTACATTTCCCAAAAGGACACATCCTTTCACACAAAAAAAAGGAAAGTTACATTTATGGAAGGACACTTCTTTTCACTATATTCAAATGTTAATTAATATAAAAATTAATTAATTAAACTGTCAAAAGACTCAAATCTTATACTTTCCTTCTCCCATCAATGTGGTATTACAACTCTATTGACTAACTCTAACAGACTTTTTGCTTTTCCATGTTAGTTTTGCAGATATATTTGTAGTTTAGTCTATGGAATGCTTGGTGAATTTAGCATATAAGATATTGCTAGTAAGGTGACGCTATTTGGAACATAAATGAACTAACATTTAATTGATGACACCTAAATTCTAATTCTCCAAACTCAAATCATAAGATCAAGTTTATAAAAAACAACAATCAATAATTATTTTGATTCATCGAAATACTTTAAGTAATCCCAATAACCAAATTGTATGCATATATTTTACTTCAAGTACACCTAACCTTCCTCGTCATATAAGAAACTAATAATACAAATACTGGTAATATTTTGAACTTATCGGATATAAAAATGGAATAGAATGATCAGTGGCATTATTTTATATGGAGAAGAATATAATCACTTCCCCTCATTCATATTCGACATAATCAACTATTTATGAAGTTCCCAGACCTTGTACCTAGTTGGCACATGAAGATGGTCCACCACAAAATAATAACAAGTAGTTATGGTGACCCCAACATAATAAAACCATGCTTGTTTCCAATATGGATTTACATATAGAACACTAGCAATTATTAGCAACACCATGATAAAAGACACTCCACTACTCGCATAGAAACTCTCCATATCAATAAATCCATCTTCTCCATCATCATAGCCATCATCAGAAGTTGTCGGCCTTAATGGTGTTAGCAGTGGTAATGTGCAATTGAGAAATAGGTTTCCTTGGTAGCTATTTTCGTCAAATGTACTAAATTGTGCAATCTTCTGAGGACAATTACCAGACAAATTGTTATAAGCCACACTAAAAGAGGATAGAGAATGCAACTCAGTGAGTTGAAGAGGAATCACCCCACTCAAATTATTATGAGAAAGATCCAAACTCTCAATTTGCGACATGTTTGCAATGGTGGGTGGGATGGGTCCTGTGAACTTGTTGTATGACAAATTGAGGACTTTGATGTTACCCAAATGGCCGATTTGAAGAGGGATATCGCCAGTGAGATTGTTACTGGAGAAATCCATGCCAGAGATTAACTGGAGAGGCACCCCTTGTAAGTATATAATAATGTCTTAGTGACAAACTCCATATCATGATTAGGTTTGGAGAATGCAACTCGTGCATTGCAATTGATGATATTTGATGTGAATATTTTGGAGGTAAGATGACCAGATAGATGATTGTGAGAAAGGTCAATCAACTTTGAATTCTCCAAGCAAAATGATACTGGAACCTCTCCATGAAACTGGTTGTCATTCAACAAAATATAACTCAGTCGAGGTAGCCTAGAAATCCATTCTGCGATTGTGCCTGTGAAACGATTGTGACTGAGATCCAAGACACCTAACCAGTATCCTGTATAGTTAGTGCTGCTGCTAGCACTAAAATCCCCAAGTTGATAAGATAAATTGGTGGTTAAGGTTCCTCCTAGTTGATTTCTGGACAAGTAAACTTCTTGCATCCATGGTGAAACGAAACCTGGTGGCAGATTTCCTGAAAGCTTATTCTTTGAAAGGTCAAGGATGGAGAGCATCGGTAGATCCCAAATCTCTTTAGGAATCTCACCAGTGAGTTGATTGTTTCTAGCTTCCAATATGTGAAAAAAGGAACAATTTGACAATTGTGGTGGTATTTTCCCGAAGAATTTATTACCAGATAAGGATAAAGATTCTATGTTGGGGAAAATTGTGCAGATGTTAGGTGGAATGGGACCCGAAATGAAGCCATTGTTGGAGATATCTAAATCCATTAGGTTTTTGTGAGGATGGATTGGAATTTGGAAATGCCCTGAGAGTGAACAATTGAGAAGATAAAAAACTTTCAAGTTTGTGTTGTTAGCTGGAAACCACGATAGGAACCCAATATCTCCCTTCATTTCGACTTTCGACATGCGTAAATAGAGCAAGTTGGTCTGATGGTAGAGAAATTCAGGAAAAGGGCCAACATATCCACCACCACCACCACCGTCACTTGGTGAAGATAAATCCAGTTCTATCAGTTGGAATAGTGGTTTACCCTGTTGTACCGGAGTATGGTGGTCACCATGTTGTCTACAAATATCCGCAGAAAACCTTAGGAGACAAGAATGGTTGAAGAAAGGGGAGAGAGAGATTGGAATCCGGATCAGATTTCCGTAGATGGTAATCTCCACAAGGGACACGAGATGCGGAATAGGAGACTCAGAGATATCCCCCGAAATTTCATTATTGACCATACTCAAGGATCGGAGAGAGGTCAAATTTGATAGACATTGTGGCAACTCGCCCCACAAATTATTATCCGTGAAGTCTAGTTGTCGGAGACGCAGTAAGTTGCAAAAAGCTGCATCATAGCAAGACTTGCCTAATTAGAGCTACACTTATATACTGTTATACATGCATAACATATTGTAAAAGAGGAAGAAGCAAGAGGTGAAGCATCATACCTTTGGGAATGGTGGAATTGAGGCTCGAGCCTTGAATCGACAAATAGGTAAGATTCGTCATTACTGTGCCAATGGTTTCAAGGAAGTTGTTGCTTGGAAAGGAAGAATCAAATATCCTCAAACTTTCCAAATGTGGCCATCCTACACATCCATATCCAACAACCGATTATTATTAGGAATTGAAATAATTAGGGTATTTGATCTAATTGCTATTGTCTATATTGGTATTGGGTAATGATCCAAATGGATCCATATGCCCTCTTTATGGTTTTGGGTTTGAGTTGGGCCCAACTTGATCAACTCATTTGGGCCTGACCCAAATGAATCTATTTCGATGGAGTTGATTGTACACACAAAAAGACAATATCGATCATATCACTAATTGTCGTCAACCCAATTCACACATCCAGAATTGATACTTTTACATTACTATTATTTTTTTTCCATAGCAAAGACAAGAAAAAAATCTCATTAGGATTTGTTATCCATTTTCTTTTTTGGTACCCAACACAATAGGTCTAATTTAAACCGCTAAAAAAATTAGGTACAACCCAAAATGATACACTCAAATTCGATTTGAGGCATAATGAATTGAGTTGGACATGTCTATTTTCCCATCGCTAATTATTATAGTTAATTGTATTCTTTACCATTACTAGCTTTTGCATGGATTTTTTTTTATATATATTGGTGACCGTTTTATTAATAACATAGAAGGGGAAGAAAATCATATTTAATTGTCAAGAATCAGTTGATCTCAATTATAGATCATATATATCATTTACTAACACACTCTCTCAAGTCTCAAACAAAAGCCACTCATATAAGTCTGAAATTTGCACAGGTCCGGATACCATGTACTTTTAACATAACATATGAAGGTTATTGGGAGTCAAATAGAAAACCTCTCTCTTACAGAAGGCTCTCATACCATGTCAAAAACCGGTTAATCCCAATACCTCGCGAGTTGTAAGAAAAAAAAAAGTTAATTATGGATCATATAAGAGAAAAGTATAATGCACAGCAAATTAATCATAACATAAGAGTGCTGGTTAGACTAGTGGGAGAGGAGAAATAATAATAACCTTTATTCTTCTCCATGCAACCAAGGATATGAAAGCTATACACAGAAAGCACTCTCAGCTCTTGGAAGCGCAGAAGTGAACAAGAATCCAACAACGGTTCTGTTCTTGAGCTGGTGGCATTATAGTCAAAACCGCCAAGATTGAGCTCAGTTACTCTCCTTGTGGCAGGATCGCAGCCAACTCCATGCCATTGACAGCAGTCTTCATTACTGTTTTCAACCGATCCGCCGCTCAGCTTAATTGGATCGTAGAGCGAGGAATTCAGCTGAAGGAGACCGATTCTCTCGTCCTCCCGACAGCCATTACAGCCCTTCCACTTTGGAATCGTAACCAGAACCAATATGAACGACACAAATATGAACCATGTCGAATGGGACACTGAATATGATCTTCCTAACCTCATTTTTGGAAACTTGTTTGTTTCTGAAGAGATTGTTATTGTAATTAGCTTGGGTTATCTATTTGTTATATATATCTCTAAGTCGTCGGCCGAGCGTATCAATTACTTCGTTGAGTCAAGCCACCAATGAAGGGCAATGCGTGTTCGAACTTTTGTGAGTCCACTAATCTCTCTAGGCCTCAATTTTTTCCACAAAGTACATGTATATGATGCTTTGTAGTAGGGGTGGCTATACGGTCCGATCCGGTTAAATTGGACCAAATTGATCCGGTCTCAGTCCGATCTTTTCGGGAATATAAGGACCAAAAATTGGATTAGATACACTTCGGTCTTGATCCGGTCCGGTTTTGACCTGGTCCGGTCCCAATTTGATTTTGATTTTAGATTGAGCTTGTGGGAATTTGAGTGTTGGGGTCTCTTATCCGGGTTTTTTTACCTAAAATCTAAGCTCGAATATGAGATTGGATTGTTTGCTATCCGGTCCCAGTCCGGTCCCGGTCCGGGTTATACGGTCCAATTTCGGGAAAAACCAAACAGTCCTTGACCAAATTGCCAGCCCTACTTTGTAGCGTCAAAAAGAGTCTACGAAAAAAACAGCTAGAACCCTCCAAGTCAATCTTAATATGGATTAGAATTAATGTTTATATAGGAAGTTTATGATATGCACCATAATCATCCTTATAATTAGTCATGAAAGAGTTTAAAAATGTAACATTTGCGGAGTATTTGTTAAGATTTACAAATTATTTGATAACCATCTACAAATGACAATATAATGATGTATTCTATGCACCCAAAATTCAGCGTATATAACAGATGCATCATCTATTTTTTTTAAGATAAGTAGTAGTTGATTGACAAGTACGTAACCCGATAATAATGAAGTTAAGATTGAAATCCATCTTTACCATGTTTTCTGTGTGTTAATTTTTGGGTTCTATTCCGAACCTAAAGTAGGTGACGAGCCCAGGTGGATCCCTTTGCCTCCACCCATGCGCCCAAGAGTCTGAGCTAGTGACGACCGCTTCTCAGTCTCCCACTTCTTTCCTCTTTACCAGCTCTTGCCTAGTCGGCTAAGAGTCCACTGTCTCTCCCACAGCTAGCTCCTCTTTGGAGGAATCCTAGTTTTTCGACACCCGAGGCTTAAGATTTGCTCCGTTACTAAGATCATTTCCCTCAACCGTATGATTTTGCAACATTATGGTCCATGGATATCGTCCCCATACCTGGCCTACCAATTACTGAAATCTTGTTACTCTTGTTGATGGTGTTCTAGAAAGATAAATGTATAAAATGTTAGAAAGAGAATCAAAGTTCAAACAATTTTAAATAGGGGTGGCAGTTCGGTTATTTCGGTTATAACCGGTAACTGATCGATCGGTTATCGGTTAACCGAAATAACCACTCCTCCTATAAAAAACCGCCCAAAATAGGCTTCGGTTCCTCGGTTATCTCGGTTATTGGTTAACCAAACCACTTTTAAGACAAAAAACTATTTCGTCCAGCCTCCGATAACCGATCGAAGTTCGGTTACTTAGGTTACCGGTTAGTGGATATTCCCAACTCTAATCAAATTTCGCCCTAGGATTTTTACCCGTCACTGTCGTTCGCCCTGGGAATCGTCGCTGTTCGCCCTGGGAGTTGCCGGCGACGACCTTCCGGCTCCTTCCTCGACCGAGAAGAACCCAACAGGAGAAAAATCCCCCGTGTCGTCGACGGGCGGAGCAGAGCAAGGGTTAGTGGATTGGAAGCTGCGCTCGCGAGTTCTTGTGCGTTCACCCATGGGAGGATTGCCTCTGTAGAGCGGATTAGAGGATTGGGTCTTCTCGTTGGTCATTCGTACAGCGCCGGTCGATTGTGGTGTCTGCCGTTGGATTGAAGACGGAGGGAGACGAAGAGGTGGGCGGCGTCGAATCCCTTCTTCCTACTAGGGTTCGTGCCGACGGCTGTGCGATGACAAATTAGGAGGCCGACGTCGAAGCCCTTCTTCCTTCTCGAGTTCGCAGTGAAGATAGTGCGACGGCAGAGGAGGAGCCCGGCATCGAATCCCTTCTTCCCCCACGAGTTTGCGGCGGCGACCGTGCGACGACAGAGCAAGGGCTAGGGCGAGGGGCGTAGCAGAAGGAAATTAGGGATTGAGGGCAGCTGTTGCAGTTTAGTGATTGGAGGTAGTATCGTCTCTTTGGTAAGGTTAGGGCATTAAATTTTAAAAAGTTAGGGCGTTAAATAGGATTTCAGATTTTAAATGACCACCTTCTTGCTATGTATAGTCGTAAAAACTTTCGACATCATTTCTACTATCCGATATTTAATGCTCGGGATTTTACCAGAAATAGCACGTTTTAAAAAAATTTACAAAAATAGCATCCAGCCAAAAATATTTACAAAAATAGCACCCTTTTTTATGGACTGCACCTCTAAGGTGCGTTTTACATATAAACCGCATCTCTAAGGTGCAGTTTATTATCCTGGGCCAAAACCGCATCTTGGCCAAGCGGTTTCAGGTCTGACCTACAAAAATCGCTTGGCCGAGGTGCGGTTTTGGGCCGACCTAGCAAAACCTCACCTTGGAGATGCGGTTTTGCCACACAAACCGCACCCCCCCAAGTGCGGTTTGTGTGTCAATAATTTTGCGACACCAAACAAGCAGCCATGCAGATTCACAGACGTGGGGCTGCATGGCAGATGAAAAACGCACCTCTAAGTGGAAAAAGGGAATTCATAACGAAATGGATCAAAGTGGAAGACCACCACGAGGCCCAAGACGATGTTCAATATGCAAAGTTCCAGGACATGATAAACGAAGATGTCCGGGATTGATTGGTCTGCAAAATCCGGGTGCTGATGTGCCGGACTCAGCTAATGCGACATAGTTTGCGATTATCATTTTTCAAGCTAGTTGAGACTCTTACTTTGCAAGTAATTGTGTATTGTTGATTGAACGATTTGGGATAATATCAAGATAAGAGGAATAGTTCCAAGGACATAGAAATAAAAACAAATTGAAACAACACTCAATTAAATAAACTAAGATAATAGGAATAGTTCCAAGTACATAGAAATAAAAATCAAATTGAAACAACACTCAATTAAATAAACTAAGATAAGGGGAATAGTTCCAAGTACATATAATTTAAATTCAACTCAAAATACATCTCAAGGAAGTCCACGAGCTTCATCGGAATCCACGGTTTTCTTGCTCCTTGTATGATGGCCGACGGGAGTAACAACAGTTGGTTGCGTTGGCAAGTTTTGAATGGCCGAGGTAGTGTGGCGCTCGTCGGTGCTGTGTCGGCGGAGAGGCGGCGCTTCCGGGGTCGAGCGGGGGACATTCGCGCTCATACGGTGAGGAGTAGGAGGCCACTGCTGATGAGGGCGAGTCAATGGGTTGAATTCGTGGTGCGCTGTCGTGG